TGAAGAAATTGAGTTTCATTTTATCTGTTATCTGGAGCGTCTTATTAAATTATCCTGCAGTTGAGAGGTGGTATGGGGTCAACAGGTTCTGTCTCTTTTGCCATCTATCCCTGGATTATTAACCTTTTGAGATTTACTAAAGCTGTTCTTTATTTTATCCCATAAAGTTGGGTTAAATCTTCTTGATCCATAAATTGTTGCGAGTGAGTGCCACATGCATGTAATTCCTTTTACTTAATGCAGTTTCTGGATAAGGAACGATGACTTAGTAATCTGTATATGTGTAGAGATCTCTTTTATTATTCTGGTTTTTTTTTCTGTTCTTTTGATACTCTCCCAGTGCCTCTGATGTTAATTGGTTCAGTGAGAATAAGAACAGTCAGATCAGATGATGGATCTGAGTCAAGTTGGTAGTATTCATTTGCCAAAAGATAAAGGGAGGGTGATGAGGAGGCAGATAGCGGAGTTGGGTAATGCCAGGCATGGAGACCAAAGGGCAGAGAGAGAAGCTGGTGGCTGTAAGCAGAGATGGCAGTGGAGTGGAGGTTGTGGCAGCAGCCCATGGGCAGGAAGGATCTGGTGGAAGGGAGCCTTCCCTCAGCAGAGGGACTCGGGAGAATATAAAGGTCAGCCCTACCATCACCACCACCAAATCGCCCATATGCCTTTTTTGCCTAGTTTCTGTTGGAAGATGTGACTACCAGTCAGGATGTTCACGTTTATAAGAGCTTGATACACTCATAGGATATTGAATTCCCTGCAACAGTAGAGAGTACTTTCTGCTATCACCAAAAAGAACTGCCTCCAGTGTTAAATATATTTTCTGCTGGAGAAAAAGGCTTGAAAAAAGAAATTATGAATACCCCATTCCCCAAAATTTTAATTATAAATACCAGATTTAATGCAAAAAAATATGCTGTTTCATACAAATTCCAAGCTCTCAATCAAGAAATCTTTCAAAATGAATGAGCCAAACTATTGTTTTTCAGATAACTTGTCCTTATGCTCAGATATTCACTTAGTCTCTGGGCAATGTTATGCTTTTTCAAATTCGTTCTAAAAAAATCTGCTAAAAACTCTTTTGAAAAAGATCCAGAGTTCAGGCGGGGAGTTAGCATTTCAGTGGAAGCACTAGCAAATAAAGTAAATGAGCTTTCTGAATTGCTGCTACTAGCTCATGCTGTCTGGTGGCCAGAGCACAGGTGACCTGGGAGCTGGGTGCCATTCAGTTTTCTTATGGCCCTGGCAGTAAATCACCTTCTAGCTTTGAACAAGCTGTTAACCTTTTTGTGTCTCTTTCTCCTCTGATTAACACCACTTACCTGTCTCACAGGGGTAATTGGTAGATAAAGTTTGGAAAATATTAAGTGCTTTCTGCTATTATTATTTAAAACACCAGTTGATAGATTAACTCCAGTTGTTAGATTAAGAAATGAACAGAGATTTTTGGGAGCATTTTATTTCTTCCCACTTTGGCATGAGATGCCAATTTGACATGAGTAATTCAACAAAGTGAGTAGTCATGAGTTTAAATGTCCATTTATTTTGGATTAAAGTTTTGGTTGTGACTGAAAGAGGAAAGGTGAGAAAACAACTGGGAAGACAAGATATAAATGGATTTACTGGGATTAGTAGTATTGAAGAAGTATCCAGAGATCAGAAGAGAACGTGTAAACTGAAATTAAATCCCGACAGGATTAAGAAAATCTTTCAGTAAAATGCAAACTGTAAAGTGTGATGGAGAAAGGGAAAAAAGGCAGATGAGCACTTCTTTTTGCCCCATCGAGAACAAAGAGTCTTCATGAGATGCTGAGATATTGGGGAAACCTACTAAAAAATTCAGTAGTGTTTTATCTGAGAAAAATAATTATTCGAAGATTCCTTTCTACTGAGGTCTTACAGATGGAGGCTTTGTGCTGTGGTAGTTTAAAACAATTGGTCTTTACCTCTAGAGATCCATGAGAGAAATGTTGCCCAGAAGCGAGAGTAAAATAGTGTTTTTAATGCATCATTTTAGGAGCAGTGGGACAGTTGGCAGACTTTACGAAAGCTGTTGAGAGACTCTGCAGACTTTAATTACCATCTCAATGTTGCAAAAGTTGTTTATTTTCTGCTAAAGAAGGGAATAGTTGTGAGAAAGCGAGATCACACTCTTGTCTTTCATTCTTTCCTTTTTGACAGGTGAATAAAGGATGCTTTTCAGTATCTCCTCTGATACTGTGACACATTTGCAAAATTTGCATAGAATTGTAAAATAATTTTTCTTTAAAAATAACAAAGTGGTTTGTTTTTTTTTTCTCCTCTTTTGAAAGTGTCATACAGCATAGTATGAATGCAGTTTAAGTCTTCTCATAAAGAAGCAAGGTAAAAATGGAGTGCATTTGCTGTTACTGATTAGCCAGCTTCAAACATTAATAACTTCAACCTTCATGACCAGACAACATGTATTATGTTGTGTTTGTTTTAGAGGTTCCAATAAATTTTAAATTCAGGTTTGAATTCCATCTCTGGTTTATTAGAATAAAGAGGAATTTATTAAAAATAGAAGAATCAATCCATTTTAGCAGGAAAAATAAACCTGTAATACAAAACTTCCTTGGTGAAGGTTATGCTTATTTTAGGCCTCAAACACTAAAGCAAAGTATGTACAACTAGGTTTTTTATTGTCATTCATAAGAGAAAAATGGCTGATAATTTTTTTTTTTTCTCTCTAGCAGTTCACTGCCTCTGTGTTACTTGAGTGTGTTCGGGTTTTTTCTAAGTGCTTGCAGTGGCCAAGGAAGTACTTACTGATTCTTTGAAGATTTACCAGCTCCACAGATCTACTGTGTTGCTACCTTTTTTTTTTTTTAATGACTGCCTCACACCAGTCTACCTGCTAAACACCAGCCTTTGTTTACTCTATAAACCCCCTTTTTTTTCTTCTTCTCTTCAAGTCTGTTATCTCTCAAGCACCTCTTCAATGCTATGGTTCAGCTTCAGATCTCTGTTATCACAGTATACAATATGTTCAGAAAGCTACTGCCCTGAAAGGCTACTTATTAATTTGTATTTTTTTGCCATATATATGTTAAATTGGTACTTAAAGGCAAAGGGAACATGCTTATTGGAAATCCAGAAAGGGAAGGATAGATCATGGAAATAACTAGGCACAGTCTTTAATCATAGAATCATAGAATCATAGAATGGTTTGGATTGGAAGGGCCCTTAAAGATCATCTAGTTCCAATCCCCCTGCCATCAGCAGAGACACCTTCCACTAGACCAGGTTGCTCAAAGTCTCATCCAGCCTGGCCTTAAACACTTCCAGGGAGGGGGCATCCACAACTTCCTTGGGCAACCTGTTCCAGTGTCTGACCACCCTCACAGTGAAAACCTTCTTCATAATATCTAATCTAAACCTGCCCTCTTTCAGTTTAAACCCATTTCCCCTTGTCTTGTCATTAGTTGCCCTTATGAAAAGTCCCTCCCCAGCTTTCCTGTAGGCCCCCTTCAGGTATTGGAAGGCCGCTATAAGATCTCCCCGGAGCCTTCTCTTTTTCAGGCTGAACAGCCCCAACTCTTTCAGCCTGTCCTCATAGGAGAGGTGCTCCAGCCCTCGGATCATCCTGGTGGCCCTTCTCTGGACTTGTTCTAACTGGTCCATGTCTTTCTTATGTTGGGGGCTCCAGAACTGGACCCAGTACTCCAGGTGGGGCCTTACAAGAGCGGAGTAGAGGGGCAGAATCACCTCCTTAATACTCATCATGTTACTAGGAATACCTTTATATTATATTTAGAATTTGATTGTTTTGGTGTTTGAAACTGTTTGCAGTTTGTATGGCAAACTGCATGCCGAATACATTACAGTGATTCACATTTCCTTATTTCAATATACCATCTGTGCTTTTGGCTGGTTGTTAGCCTGGTTAGGACTCATTTCATAAATGCAAGTTACAAAGAACTGTTATGCCCAGAAAGTCCTATATTTCACTTCCTTGAATAATCTCAACTGTTTTGACCTTACACCAGCAAGGACATGAGGCTGAAGCTGTACCTACAGCAGACTATTTTCTCTGGTGAAGGAGGATATATTAGCAGGGTATAAAGATTCCCTTGGTATATTTCTAGTGAAACTCTAGTATATATAGTCATGGTCATGATTTTCATTGTGTAATCATTTTAATTAAGTTCAACGATAAAAGTTAGTCTTGCATGAGGAATGAATGCACTAGAGAGACAGTGAAAGATTGATGACAGCTTGGGGAGCATCACATACTCTGCTGGTGGAAATGCATCTGTGGAGAGCAGCTGAGCTTGGGTAGCAGGTCAGAGATTGCAGCTCAGAGCAATGTCCAGGCAAAGTTTTGGGGATCTGAAAGAAGCGGAATACAATGGGGATATCAAAAAGCATTTTTGTAATATTTCTGAGGGGTTTTGCTTGAATGAATAGCTTATTAATTAATGTTGATTATTTTAGTAATTATCTGCATCGTTTTTGTAACTGCTAGCTTAGTAAGGTAATTAGTATAATTAGTATACAACATTGCTTGGTGGCATGATAAATCATAGCGTAGTGAATGTTGAGTCTTTATGATGTATTATCTAATTTACGCAGGTAAAAAAGAAAAGGTAAGGGTGAAATCAAGAAAGGAAGCCAGCGGTGACAGCTGGGTGGCCTTTTGGTCACTCTTCTTGCATCTGTTGCCTGTATTCTTAATTGCTTTGAATCGCTGCACTGTTAATTAACAATTCTTTTTCTCACTGTTGATAAGTCTTAATCACTGATTGAAACCTGCAGAGAGAGGCTGGAGAAGAATAAAATACACACAGAGACTGTGGCACATTTTTTTCTTTTCAGGGTTTCTGTACAAAGGATGATACCTCTTCTAGTAATAAGTCTGTGTATGTTGAGTATCTCCTTTGCTTTCACGTTCCTGGAGGTATCATCTACCAGTTACAGTTCAGTGCAAGGATGAAGAATATTAACAATGTTTTTCTTCATTATACTCTTTTTTCTAGAACCTATGAGAACACCAAAAACTCTGAAGATTGCTGAGATCCAGGCCAGACACATCGCTGTGGATTGGGAATCTCTGGGTTACAACATCACTCGTTGTCACACTTTCAATGTCACTATATGCTACCACTACTTCTGTGGACACAACGAGAGCAAGGCAGACTGTTTGGACATGGATCCCAAAGCACCCCAGCACGTTGTGGATCACCTGCCTCCCTACACAAATGTCAGCCTCAAAATGATCTTAACCAACCCAGAAGGGAGGAAGGAGAGCGAGGAGACCATTATCCAGACAGATGAAGACGGTATGTGTAAATGCTGTTATTGAAATTGAATCGAAGTCCAGTGTAGACAGGTGGAAGGAAATTACTTTGTGTGTTACAATATGTGTCCCAAAGAATGGAAGTTCTCTTCTATTAATGTATTAATTAGCCATAAAACAGTAGCTTTAAAAGAATTATAGCCGTCACCCTGCATATATAGCCTAAACTGTCCATGTAGCGCAAGTCAAACTCAATCTCTCTCTTGCAAGAAAAAAGTGGATGGCTTCCTCGTCATTCCAAAAATGTGCTAACAAAGGTGACAAGAAACATGTGGTGGCGTTAAGTGAAGGCTTCTTCACAGTATTAGGTGCAGTATTTGAAAAATAATTTAATTCTGTAAATTTATATTTAAATACTGAGTTCAGTGCTTAAAGACTCTATTCAAGATTTAAAACCTCTTCAGTAAATGTATTTGAGCAATCATTTGTGTTGCAGGTTACGTAGTATGTGTTAACTCTTTGAAAGCCACTCATCAGATTAAAGTATTATTTTGACAACTTGAGAGTTGAACTCAATGATTGTTATGGGTCCCTTCCAACTAGAGATATTCTATGATTCCTCTTTAAAACTTTTATTGACAAGGCAGTTGAGCTTATCTTAGCTGGGAAGAAATAAAGAATAGAGGTAGATGATAATGACGACATTCAGTGGTTAGGCTATGAATCTTGATATGAAAGAGATTAAAATAAAAGTAGATATTTTTCCCTAATAATATTTAAAATGTGGTAGTAAAGAGCAATTTTAGTTTCCTTTTCTTAGATTTCATTAAAATATTGACACCACAATGAAAATAGGTACTGCCATCTATAACAAAAAAATAATACTTGCACTAATGTAAGAATGTAAATACATAAGATGATAAAATTTTAAAAGGTATTGTGTTTGCCTGTAAAATGGAGGAGAGGATATAGCTTTATATATGTAGAGCAATCAGGGTCAGAATCTGGTGGCACTTCTTTGCCATATATTTTCAATTTTACAAGAAGTAGAAGAGGAATATGTTTACTGTTGCAATAAGGAAAAGAGAACAGCTTATTAAATAGGTAGAATATAAAGAGCTATAGAGAACTACAGAGGTACAGATGAATCACATAAAGATTTATTGACAGGTACTGAATTAGAATATTTCATGCAATTTAAATTTTACCTTTTTAAAAAAAGTTAATTATAAACGTAATTCATGATGAAATATTTCTGTACCTGTGTTTACATCATAGATATTTGTGGTTGCTATTTTCCTTGAGGTTTAAAAAAAAAAAGCCATGGCAGTGCTTGTCAAGAGCAGTCAAGTGCATATATTTTGTCTTATAGTTTTGTTGTGGTTTATTCTTGGAAAATGATGCACACAAGGCAGCTTTTGGTCTCAAGCTACCATGCCAGTGTGCTATCAGTGAACTTGGTTAGACTCAGCTTTGTTGTCAGAGGTTACCATAGTGTAGAAGAAGCCTCATTCAGTGAACAAAAGTTGCTAAGGTGAACAATTTCAAGCAGATGTTGTTTTCAAATTGGGGCTAATACATTTTAAAAGATATCTATATTTAGACGCACTGGTGGTAATTATTCTTGTGACCTGAAAATTGCCTCTTGTGAGCTCTACTCAGTGATACTATTGGAAATGGAATGCAGATTTTTAGTTGTACGTTACTGATTAACTTGAAAGTCTATGTCTGTTTTGTCATGTATTTCAAACTACAGAGCATGCAAGAAGTGTGCAGTATGGAGGACTTTCAGCCATCTCAGAGGATCAAAGGTGTATTCACACCTGTGTCTCTCCTTGAGCTCTCATAGCAATAGTAGTCTGAGTTCCTATATGTATGCTGCTAGTTTAGTCCCATGTCCAAGTGATCAAGTGTCTGTCTGAAACTGTTTTAAAACATGCCTTGCAGCCTAAAGCGGGACTCAGAAGATGAGAGCTACAGAAAGATACAAGTGTCTGCCACTGATATTTCACATGTGGTCAGAGGTAGCCTCATTGTCACAATGGTTTTTGGAGGTTTTGTAGAATGAGCATGATGTTAATTACGTAGTGGGGGCATTATCAGTGATTCATTTATGAGAAGGAAAATAGAGGGATCACGTATTTTCTTACATTTTTGCAAATAATAATAATTAGAAATAGCCGCTGATGACATGATTATCTGAAACTGTGCACTTACATTGCAAACTTATAATAAATAGAAATTTTGAAAACTCCAAAGACAACAACAGACAATTAACTTTTTGTTAGGTTTTCTGTAGCGCAGTATTCTTTCCAATGTCATTCTTTCTTACAAGAACCTGCTAATCAAGTAAAAACCTTGTAGACTGTTGGAGTCAAAGTAGTCTATCTCATATTTTCTTGCCTCTCTTCATCTTTACCATTTTGCCTTCCTTTTCTGTTGCTTTACTTGTCTTCCCCATTGCTTCCAATTCTCTGTGCCTTTCTTCTCTTTTTTTTTTTTGTAGTTGTTGTTTTGTTTTAATCTTTCCCTTCATCTCTGTTCTGTCATCTCACCTTCTCCCTTCTGCTAGGAGCTTTTCACATAATTGAACTTCTGGTATTCCCTAGATGCAGAGGATCTCAGAGTTTTGTGGGGCTCTGGTGTTAGACAATGAAGATCTCTGGTTCTCTTTCACAAAGGTTCACATTTATATAAGTTGTTTTCAAGGAGGAAGCTGGTGAAGGGTCTAGAGCACAAGTCTAATGGGGAGAGGCTGAGGGAACTGTGGTTGTTTAGCCTGGAGAAAAGGAAGCTGAGGGGAGACCTCCTTGCTCTCTAAAACTACCCAAAAGGAGGTTGTAGCAAGGTGGGGCTCGGTCTTTTCTCCGAAAAAGAAAACTTTCTTCACCAAAAGGGTTGTCAAGCATTGTCACAGGCTGCCCAGGGAAGTGGTTGAGTCACCATTCCTAGAGATATTTAAAAGACAAGTAGATGTAGTGCTTAGGGACATGGTTTAGAGGTGGATTTGGCAGTGTCAGGTTTTCAGTTGGACTTGATGATGTTTTAACAAACATGGTCTTTTCCAACCAAAACAATTCTATGATTTTGTGATTCTATGATTCTAAGCTTGCATAGATGGACCACACCTCCCAGAGTGGTGAGTAATAACTGAGCAGTGTATGGTACCTAGAGCAGAATTAACTCAGGAAACAATTAGTAGAAGAACAGGGTCAGATTTGGAAACTGTGCGTCAGACCTGTGGAGCTTCATATGACAAATGTAGAAGGTTTTAGTGGTTTGTAGTTCAATATCTGCAAGAAAGCAAAGCCAGCAATATCAGCCTGAAAATACCGTCCTTTCTGAACAGAGCTAGATCTGAGTACTTAGTGGTTTTAAGTATTTCTATTTAACTTACATAGACAGAATTAATCTTTAAAGTATACTATAGTAATTTGCAAAGAGCTGTATTCCATGTAAAAATTATGCCCTTGAGCAATACACTGTTAAACTAGCTATGCAAAAAGAAAATGAAAACAAGGAAATTGGTGAGTGTTTTATGGGTGAAAAACCATCTTTCGCTTTGGGGAGAGACCACACCATCACTAAGATTCGGTAGAAAGCTCTTCTGAGTACCTGGGTACTCGGCGTTATCTGTGCCATGACAGGGACTCACTGCTTCACCTAGCTTGTACAGGAGATGGACAGTGATCATAAAGGAAAACGAGGAAGGCTCGCACAATCAGGAGCTGCATACTTGCTGGGCAGAGATGATGTTTGGCATTTCGAACAAAGTACAAGAACCAGCAGTGAATTTATCACTTAGCATGAATCAGCAGCATGCACGTGTTCTCAGAGCTGCCTGTTGACCAGGGCGCTGCGAACTCAGAGGGACTCTTTGTAAAATCAGTGGATGGTGAATGGGATTAAAGCAGATAAATGCTTTCTTAATTTTTAATTGGAAACAGATGCAAAAGGGAGTGGATTAAGAGGAATAGTGACATTAGCTCTGAGAGAGCAGCTATGGAGAAAGCAAATCGTGAAGCTCAAAGTGTTTGATGGTGATTTTATAACTAGTAAGGGAGTGTGTCAGCTAACAGCAGGCAAACGACTAATTGAAAAAGATCACTTGGAATAGGATAAGTACCCATTTTGGGGGCTTAAAGTAAACCAAAGCTTTGGTCTGAGCCAAAGGACATGCTCATTGGACACAAACGAGGTCCCCTGATATTTCAGAGAGTGTGACTCATTCAGGTCCTTGCAGAGATCTGTATGAAAAAAACATAGACATAAAACTCTACTAGTAGCATTTTAAAAGTAACAAAAATAGCTCACCTGGGAGAAAAGTTAATGCAGCTAGATGAGCAGGCAATATGTCCAATGCGGCAAAGGAGGGCTGCAAAGATTGATTGAAATGGCAAACTGTCTCAAAAAATGTGTTACTTATGTAGTTGAGTGACAGGTGCATGGATGTCAAGTGAACCCAGGATAGTAATACTATTGGGAAAAAATTGACAAATGATTGCATTTAATAAAGAGAAATTAATGACTAAGAGATAAAAGTTTCAAAGTGAAGTTGTCCATAAATGCCACTGCTAAAGGTATTGACCACAGTCCTCGGCCTGAAAGGAAGACTAGTGACCTACAAGTCATAAGCAGCAGCAAAATTTAGTGTCATTATAGTCAAATAAGGGAGAAATGTTTATGTCTTTAGCAGCAGTGAACTGAAACTGATTATAACTGACCTACTGCCATTGATAAAAGGAGCCTGGGATAACCTATTTGTCCTTCAGCTTGTGAGAATAAACCCAATTCTTTTTCTCAGATGGTAGGTAAGATTTGTTATTGACGTATCATCGAGAGAGAGAAAAAGTGGTTGCAGAAAGACGTGAGCACTTTTTTATTAAAGACATCAGACAAGTTGATTTGTGAAAAAGTAAGAAAAATATTGAAATTATTAGCAGAGATTTATTTTAAGCGTACACTGAACAAACAAAAATGAAGTAAGCTGTTTTAAGGTATTGCAGAGACTAAAAATACAAGCTAGGTTTCATATTAATAGCT